ACTGTAGTCTAAAGTAGCACTTCTGGTCCTGTCAAGGGTCCTGAACTTGCTGCAGCATCAAAGTTGGCTCGGGAACTCTGGGGCTGCCTTTCTCCATCTCTCTTGGGCCATCACGTACTCTCTGTGGCAGAGACTGTGATAGATCAGGAGACAAATCAATGTCACCAGAAGCATTTGTAGGCATTTCTAAAGGCACACCAGTCCAAGGGGAGCACCATATCCTCTTGTTTTCAATATTTGCTTGCATATAGACAACCTCCCAGGGATTAACCTTCCCAACGTGACTCACAGTATATTGAAAATATAAAATTCAATCTTGGTCTAATTACAAGCCATAAAACTACATTCTATATAATACTAAAACATAAAATGTTATAATCATAAGCATTGGAAAAAGAATCAGCAGGGGGAAATACCTAATATAAACATAAAAGCACAACAAATCATTAAGAATGTAAAAAAGGTGCAGCTAACTACGAAAGAAATAGAGTATCAAGTGAAAGCAGTTTGGAACAAACGAAAAACTATTTAGGGCCCATTTAAAAATAATCAGTGTAGTGCGCTTATATAAAAGGCATTCCCTAAGCAGGGGCCATCACTGAAAAGGCCCCGTAGGCTCTATATCTAGCAGGTTCCCCTGACAATCCAACAACTGCATTCCATGCATGCAGCAGAAATGAATGCAGTCCCTGAGGAAGTATTGCATTTCCTCAGATGCAAAGTTCTTTCCATTTGAGATCTGGGAAGCATTTCATCCTGAAAGCAGAAGCTTAGCACAGGGGGAAAAGGTGAGATCTATACGCAACAAATAACACACTTGTGCTACACAGACACATACAGATTTTTGTTTGCAAAGGCCCACAGAACACCCACATGTGCTGTATGAAAGGAGCCAAAATTTTATGTACAAAGTGCACTATGGCACCAGCCGCAACAATATGTACACGCTGAGCATTTTAATGTAAAGCATGCCCTTCTTCTTGTCCCTCTCACTACAGTATCTCATTTTCCCTTGATTTGTCTTTTAAAGGGTGATAAAGACAAGCTCTGCTTTAAAGCCAGTAATTGTTTCTTAATGGTGGGCACTCTGTCACATTAGCTCTAGCTGCTATCTTAGAGAAAACTTTGATGTGATTTGCCCAACTATTAAGGCTATTAGTTGAAACTTGAAATTGATTTATTTTGCCCATTGCATTAACCTTCCCTGGCAGAACCATCATTTCCTTATATAGGGCATGACAAATGCACCTTGGAGTCTAAACATTTTTTTGTTTTATTTTTGCGAAATTGGATGTAAATGCTAGCTCACTATAAGCCCCACATTGATGTGATAATAAAAGTGGTGAAAACTCCACCAGCCATCTTTATTACTATATGGTAAATGAAGGGGAACTCTGAAAGAAAGCTCCCCTTAGAAACACATTTGGTGACACTTTGGTTAGAGTATTTTTGAAGTGGGGGTAGAGACCTATAAACAAGGGTGGCTTAGGTCTGGCAAAACAAAGTTTGCTTCATGTAAAGCCCTGCATACATTCAATTTTGTATACTAGCTGAACAAACTAAAAAAAGGTGGTGGGTTCTTCAGTTTGTATTGCAAAAAGTAATACAAAAAAACTAGGCCATGTTTCTAGCATTAAACTCTAAAAGGTTCGCATAGAAATTGGAAGCAATATATATAGGAAACCATAGCACCAAATGGGTCTGTATAAAGGAACCTCAGCAACAAAGGAAAGGAGGAGGAGATTTAAAATGAATATTATATCCCATCATCAGTTCCTTAAATCTAACCAGAAAGACATTTAAATGAAAATTTCTATTCCATTTTAATAGGGTGAAAATATACATATATTATGTTTCTCTGTGGTACAGATTATCATAAAAGAGAAGTTCTTGTAATGTCATCTAATCTACCAGGTGCATTTGGTAAGCAATGTCCTTCCCAAAGTACATGGCAGAAATGTTAATGAAATGTTAATGAACTGTCTCCACGGTGGGCTCCAAATTAAGCCTATGTTACATAGATAGAAGGAATAGCATGCCTTCTTCTGCAACAGCAACTGAAGAGGCCAGCTGCCAGTCAGATTTAAACAAAAACAGCTTGTCTCTTTGGTTCTCAGACCTACTGTAGGAAAAACTAAGAAATCACTGTCTGCCCATGTGGTTTGATATGGCTCTATATGCTCTGAAGGCTCTACATGCTTGTCTGTAGACAACTTTTTCAACTCCCTTTCAACCAAGTTGAAGGTAAACTATAAATCTATTAGATTATTGAGTATATGTAGGCTTTTGGAGTGCCTCTGGGAAGCATTGGCCTTGGTGAACTCTTTCTGTTGCGCAGACTATCTGGTGGGAAAGCTACGATCCAGGGGAACTAGATTCCATCATAAGAGACAGGTTGTCAGAAGCCTGCACATGGTTCCTCTATGTGTTTCTTCCCTAGAGTCTCAAGTTTCTGGTTGTTCTACCAAAATGCTCTTTACTCTGACTGTTCATAATAAGATCTCATGTATCCATGACTTGATCATGGATAAGAGATCATCACCAAGATTTGGATGGGTGAGCATCTTATCTCACTGTGCTTGGTATATGACCGGCACAGGGTGAAGGGTCAAGTGTGTGTGTTGCCATGGTCCATAAATCTTATACAGTATCTTACTCACTAAGAAACCTCTCCATCTGGGGGTTGTCTTTGAGGGTCTGCACCTGGTATCTGTGTCTTGTACCTAAGCAGCAGATTTGGTGGGGCTTCAGTCCATTTATCAGTGGAAGAGTAGCTTGTTACAGGTGTAAAAGGTATATGGAACAATTCAAAGCAACTTCCCATGACATAAGACTGGCTGGGTTCCATATAGGTCCAGGGGAAATTCTTAAGAGAGTCCATAGAAAATTCCTCTAGGAATTTAATTCTTTAAGCTCTTTCACAGGAGATATTTTCTGCTGACAGGAGAAAGATCTATGTGGCACAGCAACATCAAGGCCTGCGAACCATTAATTTGAGATAACTTTCCCCTGTGTAAATTGCTGAGCAATCAGATTTTCTTTTTATTTTACCTTTTGCTCTGCATGTTATAGCTCATGTCATGCTAGGATCACAGTTCCCTGCTATTAATTATACACAAGCGCACATTTTTTAAAAAATCTCATGCTCACCAGGGACAACTGGGAGAAGGAGAGGGCGAAAGATGCAAGATCCACTGCAGAGACCAGTGAATTCTAGTCTATGAAATTCATTTCAGCAGCTCTCTTTATAATCCTGCCTTGGAAACTCATTTCATTTTAAAGTCCTGTAAAGGAGTCACGGCTATATTCAGGACTGCTTATTGAGCAGCGGGTTCTTAAAATAATCCTTCTGGGCTGCTTCCTTCCATGTTACCTCAGAAAGGGAAAAAACCCCACATGGCCAGGATAAAGATTTGACCTTATGTTAAGCTACCGAAATAATAAAATGCAATCTGCAGAGTGAAAGGTGGATAAGGCCGAGGTAACGCAGCCAGCAGCCTCCCAATGTGTTTTAGCCAAGGTATTTACAGAACTTAAAAGTACTTTTACGATTTACAGCCGTAATGGCACAACCAGCACTGGCATGAACAAAACAAACGTGTTCTTGGGCAGAAGCCTTGATGACTTTCACCATACCCTCCAATTATCATTATTTTGCTGGGACAATCACTATTACACTTCAGTAATCATAGATTCTGTCTTTATCACAGAAAGTCCCGGATTAAGAGACGTGTATTCTTTTGCCCCCCACGGCACCATAGAGAATTAACTTCCAATTAAGTCCCCTCTATTTCTAGCTCTATGGTGCCCCCTGGCCCCTCCCACCCTGCTGCTCACCCAATCACTGCTCTTCCCTTCCCACGCTGCTTTATTGGAAATAGGAAGTGGACACTGGGTAAGGCAAGGCCAGCAAGGGATGTTGCTGCTGATTCTTCACCCTAGTAAATCCTAGAATCCGAGATTTGGAAGGGACCACAAGGATCATCTAGTTCAACCCCCTGAAATGCAGGAATCTTTCGCCCATTGTAGGACTTGAACCCACAGCCCTGTGTCTCATGCTCTACCAACTGAGCTATTCCCTCTTTTGCCCCTCTTTGGCTTTTGAGGGCCCATTATGAAAATCTGAGAGTGGGAGTTTTGTTGGTTTGCTTACTTTATTTATAGGCTGCCATTCTGGACAAAGTTCTCTCAAGGGGATGAACAGCAACAGAAACATAAAAGCAGTCTGGTGCAGTGGTTAGAGTGCTGGACTAGAACCTGGGAAACCAAGATTCAGATCTTCACTACGTTCTGGAGTTCACTGGGTGACCTTGGTCTCTCAACCTAACCTACTTCACGGGGTTATTGTGAGGGTAATAGGAGCTCCTTGGAGAAAAGATGGAATAATAATAATAATAATAATAATAATTTTATTTATATTCTGCCCATCTAGCTGGGTTTCCCATTTCAAATCTCATTTTGTTTGTGGAGGGTTATTAGGCATTTATAAATGAAAATATCCACTGAGCCCCAGGCACTGGACTCGAAGAAAAGTATATAGCACATTTATTAGTATCTACAATACAGTAACAGAAGAATGCAAATCTATGCAGGTGAGGTAGCATTTTTAAAATTGGAACTAGCAGAGCTTCTCATCACACTCTGAATCATGGGCTGAAAGGGAAAAAAGGCTCTCTTGTAAACAAGCTCTATTGTTGCAAATGTTAATCCACAGACTCCTAGAGTACAGAAATATGGAACGCAGTTATTAATGTATTATGCTGAAAGTATTTGCTTTGGTGTCAAGACATGGCACAGAGAACAGACTTCAAAAAGAGATGCATGGAAATTACACTCATTAGGGTTTTTAATCTCTTGCAAGCAACTTGTTGCGAAAGAGAGATCTCATGAATATATGAAGTGACAAGTGGCATGTCTGTTCTTTGTCTCCAGGAAAGATTGCTTGTTGGGAAAAGTTGAGAAAAACAGAGGCATGACTGCTTCATTCTTTGTTTTTTTTAATGAAGCGGAACAGCGTAGGGTTGAGAGTTCTTCCACTGTATTTTTAATAGGCAAGTTGCAAGTACAACTGGGGGCGGATGGGGGTGTCAGATGATATTAGAAATTATCTAATGTATGAAGGATGGGTAACATGTGGCCCTCCAGAGGTTCCTGGAATACAACACTCATCGTCCTTTGGGACATAGGTGTTTCCTACAACAACTGACCAGCCACTTATTTATATCACCCCCTGCCAAAATACATTACCTAAAAAAGGGATGAAATAGGAAATCGATTTTCATAAAGTCATCATATATTAATTTGTATGTATAAGTACATATTTAGAAATAATTCCCAAAATTCAAATAGATAAATTGTGCATCTTTCCATCGTGTGGATGGCTATGACCAGGTGACCTGTGTCTTACCTGTGGGTTCTTACAGTTGATGGGCAAGTTCAAGGCTGTTGCTGTTCCTTCTTATGGACCAAACAGCCCTTCAAACAGAAGACTCCTTGGAAGGCTCTGACAGCCATCCTACCAAAACAAATAAAGACTGTTCTCTGGAAAACCTTGAGTTTAACCATTTTTACCCATCCTAGTCCTCTCTGCCATCCAAGATCCTCATCCACGCCACTTTTAAGCCTTCCAGCTATGAGTTCTAAATCACAGCTGGTTCTCTACTTGACAGCTGCCAATGACTTTCAGCTGCAGTACAACCACCTCCCTCTACTTATTTTATGAGTTCCCTAGGCTGATTCACAAGATGACCTTCTAAGCTTAAACTATGCCGTTTGTTCAGTGTGCATAGAATCATAGAATCATAGAGTTGGAAGAGACCACAAGGGCCATCGAGTCCAACCCCCTGGCAAGCAGGAAACACCATCAGAGCACTCCTGACATATGGTTGTGAAGCCTCTGCTTAAGGACCTCCAAAGAAGGAGACTCCACCACACTCCTTGGCAGCAAATTCCACTGTCGAACAGCTCTTACTGTCAGGAAATTCTTCCTAATGTTTAGGTGGAATCTTCTTTCTTGTAGTTTGGATCCATTGCTCTGTGTCCGCTTCTCTGGAGCAGCAGAAAACAACCTTTCTCCCTCCTCTATGTGACATCCTTTTATATATTTGAACATGGCTATCATATCACCCCTTAACCTCCTCTTCTCCAGGCTAAACATGCCCAGCTCCCTTAGCCGTTCCTCATAAGGCATGGGCAAGCTTAACTGGTGTTTTTCTTCTTACTGCATAGACACAACCCTTGCAAAGTGCAGGGGCCTGAACTAACTCAAACAGGTGAATGAGAGATTGCTGTTGTCCCAGCTCTGTTGTTTAATGTTTTGGTAAAGAACAGTGACTCCTCTAGTCTGGATGAAAAGCTGGGGAACTCCTACATCTTTTCTTCTCTGCCATGGAGGATCATAGATGAATTTAACAGATAAAGAAACGATGAATCATTTGGGCAAAGCTCCCACCCCCCCCCAGCCAGTGCCACTGAACAGAAATTGTAAAGACAAGCTTTTGGTAAGAAAAATGCACATGGCTTCTTTCTATACTCTATTAACCTCTGTTTTTGTTTCTGTAAAAGAAGTGTGTCCTAGACATCTGTTGTAAACAAGATAGACCTTAGAGAGGAATACATTTTGGACAATTTATTTTGTGCTTACCAGTGTCTAGATTGCTTATCCCTGGTGTGATGCCCTCCATGTTGTGTTGCAATACAGCTCTCATCATCCTTGACCATTAGCCATGCTGACTAGACCTGATGGGAGCTGTAGTACAAAACACCTGTGGTTGCAGAAGGCTGGCTTATCATCTTCCTCAGGATGGGTAAAGAGTTGAGAGTGGTTTACCTTTTCCTAGTGTGTCCAAAGGGGCCTATTTACTGGCATTAGTACACCGTACTAAGATGTGCTCTGTTTAATGCATTGCAGGAAGCTAGTTAACAGAATTCCTGCTGGCTTAATAAAAACTTGATTTGCAAAAGGCATGGCAGGGAAATGGCAGACTGAAAGCAACTCACAATCATTCTAAGTTGCCATGACTATTACTGAATGAGACAAATTGCCATGCTTTGGTTCTGCCAACCTTTGCTTCCTGGAATACTAACTCTTGTTAACTTTCAAAACGGAGCTAAAGGAGCATTTTAAACCGAGCATAAGCTGCTCATTCTGAACTAGTTAGAACTTTGTACATTTCCCACCAGCAATTGTGATCTGCAATCACTGTGGTGTGTTTTCAAAAAAAAAAATTGTTGGAACTCTTTATACCACATCCCCCGCCCCCCTGCATCCAAAGCAGCTTAAGAACATTAATTCTCCTCTTGCAGTGCAGACGGGGCAAATCATTACAATAAGGTCTTGACATTAATGCTGCTATATTGGTTTTTCCATAAAGCCTTTGGCTTAACCTCTGTTCCTCTGAGTTCTCATTGCCAACTGAAATAAAGTCTAAGTATATATGGCTATATGTGTTTACATTTGTCCCTTGTGACCCTTGCATCTTCCACCCACATGCACACAATAGATTGCATTTGGACATAACAATAGCACTGTGTGAATGAGCCTCGACTCATTTGCACTTTGCCCTGTCCTTTCCTCTTTCCTCCACTGCACTCCTCCCCAAGCATGGCCTCAAGATCAGAAGCTTTTGCTTCCATGTTCAGATAAACAAAGTTTAGTGTTAAGTCTGCCCTCCAAGTGTCCCTATTTTCCAGGGACAGCCCCAGAATTAAAAAAGCCGTCCCAGCTTTTGATTTGATCCCAAAATGTCCCTATTTCCCCTGCCAGCACTGCCGCCACTGAGCTCTGGGAGGAGAATGAGCCGGTGGTCTTGAGCAGTGGCAGCAGTGAGGGAGCATCCCGTTGCCTCTCCATGGCCACTGCTGTCGGCCTCCTCCCTTGGGCACCTCATAGCGGCTGCTGGAGAGTAGGAAAGGAGGCTGTCGTCATCAAGGCCCAGCCCTGGGTGATGCGCCAGCTTTGAGGGACAGGCAGAGGGCAGGGCCGCCCTGGGCAGGAAGAAAGGGGGAGCAGAGCGGAGCGCAAAGAGTACTGATTTTATTTTATACAAAAAAAAAATAAATGCTTTGTGCGTTTGCATCTAATCTTGCCCCTTTCAAAAATTAACTTATTGATATGTGTTTTTCTTTTTGTAAATCTATCAAAGAATAAAATAACATTGGTGTTAAGGGGTTTTCTCAGGACAATGGAGGATGTGTGTGCCATGTCCCATTGGTGTAGTGGTGGCTGCACTCATACTTCTTCTAATAGGAAATGCTCTGAGGGATGGGGGCAAAAATGGGGGGGGGTCGAGGAGGCATAGTTGGTAGGGGAGTGAGAAATTTCCCTATTTTCATCTGAGGAATGTTGGAGGGTATGATTCTGCGCTTTAATCTGTGGTTATCTGCAGTACAGTTTGTTGAAACAAGACAGCTTTTTACAAGCCAGTCTTAGAAGCTGGCTCATTTTAGTAAGCTGTAGTTAAGACTAAGCAGTTTTTGAACATAACACTAAACTATGGTTAGTTAAAAACTGAAACAAAAGCTTTGTCTTCCTTGTAACTACATTGGTTGGGAAAATCAAGAATACAAAAAGGATTGGGAAATGTTTGTAGGGTCTTTTAAAAATCAGTAGAAACAAGTGAACAGATTGGCAGGACTTGAATAAATTCAGCAATATAAGAGGAAGTAAGAGAAAATTAGTAAGGAGAGTAGAACTTGGTAACTTAGAATACACGGAAGAGAGGGAAAAGAAAGGACACCAGAGAAGGAGAGGAAGGGAAGTCCTTAGATGTCTTGTTTTGTGTCCCTGTTTGGTTGTGGTTTTGTTTTCACCCCCCCCCCCTTTAACTTTTACTTATTCTTTTGGAACTGTATGTAAAAAATGCAAATAAAAATTATAATAAAAAAGGAAGGGAAGATGAGGAATCACCGAGGTTTGCTCTGCCAACAATAAACCATAGTTTATCATTACATCTGAATGTATTCAATGCCTAAGTTTGTACTTCAGACTTGTGAGCTCCATGCCAATAAGAGGCTGCAAAAGCCAATAGTATCACAGAAGCGGCACAGCAAGTTACCTTCTCTTTGCTGAAAACTAAGACCCAAGGCCAGAACTCCTGATGAGGCAGCCAGATGTTTGAGGTTATTTAAGAAAGGTCTATCAAGTTCATTCTTAAAGAGCTGCTTCACACGTTACTCTGTTTCTTGTGCCAATGCGTAGCAATCTAAGGAAGGGCTTTCTTCACCCTGGAGCCCTGATTATGGAATTTCCTCCCCTCCCAGATGCAGACTTTGCTGGGTTTCTGGTGCCAGCTAAAGGCTCATGCACTCCCACAGACATTTGGAGGAGCCTGGTGAATTGCTTCTTCTTCTGTTCTTTTTTTGCTTCTTGTTCAGCTATTGTGTTTAATATGCATTTTGCTTGATTGCAGTGTAACCCACTCCGGGATTGCCTTGGCAATGACAAACTAGTAGGGAATGTTTTAAATAAATAATATTGCTCAAACAGGTATTGAAGTCTGAATTAATTGTCAACAGTTGCATTAATTGGTATTTATGCAAATCTTTGAAGTTAGTACAGATGGAAAATCCCTGAAGGGGACAGGGGACCCTGTTTATTTCCATATACTACTGTAACATCACTTTGAATGCTATTCCTCCACCCACCCCACATACCCCAAAGAGTTGAGCATAACACATTGAAAAACGTTACTTAAATAGACTGAATTCCATCCAGCATGAATATTTGCATTCTTGGATAGGAAATATATATATATATATATATATATATATATATATATATAATTCAAAACTAACACCACAATCCTGATATTCCTGTTCTATAAAAACCAGAAACAACAGCAGCCATGGCAGTGTAGTAGACAGTGGGCTGGATCCAGACTTGCTGCCATCAAAAGCCTAAGTTAAGGCACAACTAACTTATCGTATTGATTTCCCGGGGACTTAAATTCAATTAACTAAGGCTAAAATTGTAACCTCACTTAACCTGGGAGTAAGCCCAATTGAACTCAACTTCTGGGAAGACATGGGTTGTGCTGTTAGTGCATTAGACCCGAACTGAGAAGATCTGGATTCCAAGCCCTATTCAGCCATGTAGGTCATACTGACCTTGGGTTAGTTCTTCTCTAGCTAAGGACATAAGCGGAGCCTGCTGCATCAGGCCAATGGCCCATCCAGTCCAGCATCTGGTTGGTCCAGTGGCTAGCCAGATGTTTATGGAAAACCCACAAGCAGGACCTGAGCATCAGGGCACTCTCCTCTCCTGCAAGTTCCAGGAACTGGTATTCAGAAGCAGGATTGCCTCTGGCTGTGGAGATCAGAGCAGCAGCTGAACCAACTACACAGAATTGTTCGGGAGGTAAGGAGAAGATAACGGCCAGGTGCGTGACCCAAGTCCTTTGGAGGGTAAAGGTAAAGATAAAGGGACCCCTGACAGTTAAGTCCAATCACGAATGACTCTGGGGTTGCGGTGCTCATCTCGCTTTATTGGCCGAGGGAGCCGGCGTACAGCTTCCGGGTCATGTGGCCAGCATGACTAAGCCACTTCTGGTGAAACCAGAGCAGCGCATGGAAACGCCGTTTAACTTCCCGCCGGAGAGGTACCTATTTATCTACTTGTACTTTGACGTGCTTTCGAACTGCTAGGTTGGCAGGAGCAGGGAGAGAGCAATGGGAGCTCACCCCGTCGCAGGGGTGAACCACTGATCTTCTGATCGGCAAGCCCTAGGCTCAGTGGTTTAGACCACAGAGCCACCCGTGTCCACTTACCTGTGGAGGGTAAGTGTGATGCAGATGAAATAAATGCAATAATACATAAGAAACAGAAAGAGGCAGGACTTTAACCGGATAAAATATATGTGAACAGCTAGATAGATGTCCTTGTTACACATAACAGTAGCTGACACAAAACGAATTATCCTTTGTGCAGTAGAACGGCGTGGGCAATTAAGAGTGAAAGTGACACAGCAGCACATTTGACACATGTCCACAAGAATATGTCTCAGTGGCAGCATCAATCTAATATTCAGCTACTAAAATAATCTGCACATTTCTACCAGATGCCATGATCTATCTGTTAGGAAGGTGTGACTCTCCCAGGGGAGATCACCAGTGACATCCAGGGAAGTGCTAGCAGTTTCATAATCTGTATCTTTGTCACTCAGAGGCATTTGTTTCCCCCTTTGTCACCTCATTCTGATCCAAGCCTCATCTCGCTTTTGATATTTGGATATTTAGGCAAGAAAAAAGGGATGTGTGTAAATCAAGGATTTTTAAAAAACAATGGAGCCTTCCACTTTAAAACTCTAAACAACACAGGCCCCCAAAGATCTGAAAGATTGTTCCCTTCCCTACAGACTCTCTCAGATGCTATAACAGCAGAGGGGAGCCTCTTGCTGCCCTCAAAAATCTGGAGTGACGGCAGCCTGGGAAAGGGCCTTCTGTGGGGCAGTCCCTAAGTTGTGGAATTCTCTCCCCATAGAGATACATCTTCATTATGTAGTTTCCATCACATGCTGAAGGCACCTCTCTTTATCCTGGCCTTTGAGATAGATAGATAGATAGATATATCTGTTTAGGACCTATACTCCTTTTGGGACTGTGATTTTAATATTGCATTTTAAATTGTTGTGAACTGCCCTGGGATCTTATGCTGAACAGTGGTGGGTGCTTTCCTGAGCTGAAGGAGTCCTTCCATAAATGGAAGTTCATTTCATGAATGGAGATACTACATTAGATCCCACCTAACGAATGCACAAGACATTGCTGCTATTCATAAGTAGCAGCCAAAAGTAAGAGGTCCTTCCAAAACGGTTTAAATACAGTGCTTTTTTTCTGGGGGGGACGCAGGGGTATGCATACCCCTAAACATTTTGTGAATATAAGTTTGGCCTCATTGAGGGGCATTATTTCAATATGAGTAGGAAAATGAGAGTACCCCTAAATATTTTCTAAGGGAAAAAAGCGCTGCTTAAATATATAAGAACAAGGGTTTTCTATTCTATTCTATTGAGTCCTGACCCACCAAAAGATTTGATCTGACTTGATTTGATATCAAAATCATAATTTTTAAATATGCATACAAAACTAAAATGGATAAAAATAGTAACGAAAAACAGGAAATCAGCTGGAACCCAGGAGCAAAACATCACTTAAAAAAGTACATCAAAAGTAACTCCCAAATGTCTGCCTAATCAGGTATTTCTGATACAGCTTTTTAAAAGGAAGTGGATTAATAATGACTTTCCTCCTGTCTTCTTCCTGTACCTTCAAGGCCAGAGAAACATTTTGGAAAAGGAGAACATAAAACGATGGCCCTCTGGCTTAATGAGCATAAAATGTATAATCTGATATAGATTTATTTGGACCATAGGTCATGACACAACCCATTATTTCATATACAGGATGCAGAGTGCAAAAATCTATATAGTCACTTGAAACAATGCTTCACATGCACAAGAATGGGGGAGACTTTGGTGTACATGTCTCACTGTGAAGCCAACATGACAATTATATCTTGGTTGCTTTTGGCTAATAATCATGTGCTGCATGGATACGACACTGAAAAGCAATGCCAGTGTGAAACACTTTCCATGTTTTATCTTACTGTAAATATGCATACCAAAAGGCTGGGTCTCCTTGTTCATGAGAGCTGCATCCCCCAACTCTTTACTTGCAGCTTTTTACATCTCTGGAGGTCTCAGAGGGATGTGCCATGAGGGGTATATCAAGTAAGTATGTTCAGCAGATATGAGCACAGTGTCAGCATTGATCAAGCAGGCGGAGCAGCAAAAATCAATCCAAGTATGATTTGTATGGAGAGAAGGAGATTGCACTATCACCTGGAATGCTTCAGACCCCATGAGAAAAGCATGGAGGTCTGATTAGGTAAGATGGCGGGGGGATGGGGGGGACGGGACACATTATTCTTTCTTCACGTTTCTCTTCGAAAGTTCCTGGAAGATTTCCAGGTTCCCCAACTGTCCTCCATATCCCTTTGCTAACTTTACTGTTTGTGTGGAAGTAAGTTGGGAAACACTGAAATGGAAAGAGGAAGACTGACTGCCCAGAAGCAGTTGAATATCAAGCCAACTAAGCTGACACCAGTTTTTAGACCTGAGAATGTCCTGAAACGTTTGTTTCCCAGATGATATCTGTGATCAGCTTGAGACATGCAGGGCAGTGTGGTCCTTAAGCTATCATGGACCTAAGCTGTTCAGGGCTTTATGCACTAGCACAAGGTAAAAAGGTCAAGGTCAAGGACCTCTGGACGGTTAAGTCCAGTCATACTTGACTCTGGGGTTGTGGCGCTCATCTCGCTTCAGGCCGCATTTGTCCGCAGACAGTTTTCCGGGTCATGTGGCCAGCATGACTAAACTGCTTCTGGCATTACGAGACACCATGACGAGTACCAGAGCACACAGAAACGCTGTTTACTAGCACAAGACCATTGAAACGGGCCAGGTTTTCAATCTGTTCCTTTGTTATGAGTATATACCCTCCAACATTCTGCCAATTAAAATCAGGACTCTTGTCTTTTGGTGCCATGCTCCCTTGTGAGCCAGCTGGGGCTTCCCTGCCCCAGTCCCCTGTCTCCATTACTGGAAGCAGCTCCCTCAGTGAGCGCCACACTGGCACCTCCAGCTCCTCCTCCTCTTCACCCTCGTCCTCCTCCTCTTTGTCTTCTTTCCCTCTGGTGAGGACGTCTGGAGGAGGAGGCATGGTGTCTCAGCCTGGCGGAAGTGGCCTGGCCTGCACCACCACCAGCTCCAGCTCCTCCACTTTCATAGTCTCCAGCTCAGCCGCCTGACACGTGACTTTTGGGGCTGAGCAATTTCGGGAGCCAGCTGACTTATGTGTGGCACCAAAAATGGGACATTCTGGGATCCAATCAGAAGTTGGTACGGCTTCCGTAATTCCGGGATGTCCCGGTCAAATTGGGACAGTTGACAGGTATGTGATGGGCAAGGGGCTACAGCATTAAAAGACGGAGGAGGAAAAGCACTACTGGCTCCATGCCTAATACTATATTTCTTCCACATGGCCTGGAGCCCTTTCAATGTTCCATCCTAGGCAATCATCTGCCTGACCTATTAAGTTGGGGCAGCTCTGGTGCGACAGTGGAAACAAGGTTATGAAAGGGAGAGCCTGGCAAAATTAAAGCTGAACCCCAACAAGTCCCTCAGGTCTAAGGTCTGACTTTCATCTTAACTGAGTATGAAAGGGGCTGACTGGACTTGTGCATTCTGAAAAGCAGGTTCACTAAAATCTAGAAACCCTTGTTCTATAACTCTTTTAAAGTAAGCCCGTGTCTCCAAAGTGCCATTTTGTCGGGCAGGATTTATATATCCTGCCTTCCTAGGGCTGGCACTTGTTTCACAAGATGTCTTCTATAACTCTTGATGTAGACAATATACTTTGGTTTTGTGTTTTGTTTGTCGTTTGCTTGCTGTGTTTTAGCAGGCAAAATGCACTTGAAGCCTATACTTTCTTCTGAAGACAAAGGAAGGCTA